GGGGTCCATGAGGGTGCTGGGTGTCCCTGGGGGGTCCATGAGGGTGCTGGGTGTCCCTGGGGGGTCCATGAGGGTGCTGGGTGTCCCTAGGGTGTCTGTGAGGGTCCTGGGTGTCCCTGGGGGGTCCGTGAGGGTGTCTGCTGGGATTGGCGTGATCACAATGTGGAGAAAGACCCTGAGGCAGAATCATCAACAGTTCAGGTTTTAATTAAAACTGGAATCAAAACTGAATTGCCAGTGTGGGGGAGGGACAAGCCCCCTCCCCGCTTTTTGTGCCACTGCCGTGGTCCCTCTTGGAGCCAGGGAAATTGCAGGAAAAACGTTCCTGCACGTCCAGATTTCACGGGAGTCAGGAGCAGAGACCGTGTGGTGAACTTCCTTGGCAGGTTTTCACCTCCCAGAGGGCTTAGAGGGGATACTGGGAGAAATTCCTCCCTGTCTGTAGGTATAAATCCAATAGAGATATAAAATATAATATAGTGAGGAGCCTCCAGGAGAGCTGGGGAGGGCTTCTGTGAACTGTCAGGATGGAGGCTGAGGGTTTTCTCCTGCCAGAGGGCTTAGAGGGGATACTGGGAGAAATTCCTGTCTGTAGGTATAAATCTAATAGAAATATAAAATATAATATAGAGAGGGGCCTCCAGGAGAGCTGGGGAGGGCTTCTGTGAACTGTCAGGATGGAGGCTGAGGGTTTTCTCCTGCCAGAGGGCTTAGAGGGGATACTGGGAGAAATTCCTGTCTGTAGGTATAAATCTAATAGAGATATAAAATATAATACAGAGAGGGGCCTCTGGGAGAGCTGGGGAGGGCCTCAGTCAGAGGACAGGATGGAGGCTGAGGGTTTTCTTCTGTCAGAGGTCAGGCTTAGATGGGATACTGGGAGAAATTCCTGTCTGTAGGTATAAATCTAATAGAGATATAAAATAAAATACAGAGAGGGGCCTCTGGGAGAGCTGGGGAGCGCCTCAGTCAGGGGAGAGGATGGAGGCTGAGGGTTTTCTCCTGTCAGAGGGCTTAGAGGGGATACTGGAAGAAATTAATCTCTCTCTGTAGTATAAATCTAATAGAGATATAAAATATAATATAGAGAGGGGCCTCCAGGAGAGCTGGGGAGCGCCTCAGTCAGGGGACAGGATGGAGGCTGAGGGTTTTCTCCTGTCAGAGGGCTTAGAGGGGATACTGGAAGAAATTAATCTCTCTCTGTAGTATAAATCTAATAGAGATATAAAATATAATATAGAGAGGGGCCTCCAGGAGAGCTGGGGAGCGCCTCAGTCAGGGGACAGGATGGAGGCTGAGGGTTTTCTCCTGTCAGAGGGCTTAGAGGGGATACTGGGAGAAATTCCTCCCTGTGACGGTGGTGAGACCCCGGCACAGGGTGTCCAGAGAAGCTGCAGCTGGCTCCAAGGCCAGGCTGGATGGGGCTTGGAGCAGCCTGGGATAGTGGAAGATGGCAGGGGTGGATCGAGATGACCTCTGAAGTCCGTCCAACCCAAACCAGCCTGGGATTCTAAACGTGGGGCAGGTTGGGATGGGAGACCTTGGCTGACCCCAGGTGCTCCCCCGGGCTGCTCCGTTGCTTCAGGAAGAGGCAGCAAGAGAAAACCTGATGGAAAAGCTCCTGGGGAAGATGGGTTGGGGGGTGTGAGTCCCTCAGGAACTGCTCCAGGTCCCTTTCCATGGGCTGAATCCCTCAGGTGGAGGCGCCTGGGGCACGATTCCTACCCAGCAGGCATCCATTTTTGGGTACAGCTTGAATTAGGTGGCCTGAACCTAAACCACCGTGGCTCGCAAGAGTGGCAGATCAGGTCTCCCCCTTTCCTGGATTCCTTTTCCCTTCAGGACTGACTCCCAAGGGACTCTGTCAATGGGTCTCCTAAAAAGGACAAAATGTGCTCTGCAGCAGCCCAGGGGAGCAGTTCTGCTGCTCCCTCCTTTCCACCCCACAGTGGAAAACGCGTTTTGTGGTTGCTCTGCCCAAGGCACTCTTAACTCCCACATCACACCCCACTGATGGAATCACAGAGTCAGAGAATGCTGTGGGTTGGAAGGGACCTTAAAAAGCCTCTGCTTCCCACCCTCCTGCCACGGCCAGGGACACATCCAAGCCCTGTCCAGACTGGCCTTGGACGCTTCCAGTGATGGGGCAGCTTCTCTGGGCAGCCCCTGCCAGGACCTCACTCCCCTCACAGGGAAGACTTTTGTTCCCAGCTGATCTAAACCCGTTCTTTACCACGGGGGACCCGTTTTCCCGCATCCTGTCACCCCAGGCCCGTCACCAAGACCCGTGGCTGACACCGGTCCTGGAGCAGCTCCATGGAGATCCATTGCCACCAGCGGTTGCCGTGGGCGTGAGCTGGAGCCTGTAGCAGGTCCTGTTGCCACGGCAGCTATTTGCTGTCTCATTCTGAGAGTCAGTGCGTGGTTGCCGTGGGCGTGAGCTGAAGCCTGTAGCAGGTCCTGTTGCCACGGCAGCTATTTGCTGTCTCATTCTGAGAGTCAGTGCGTGGTTGCCGTGGGCGTGAGCTGAAGCCTGTAGCAGGTCCTGTTGCCACGGCAGCCACTTGCTGGCTCATTCTGAGAGTCAATGAGTGGTTGCCGTGGGCATGAGCTGCAGCCTGTAGCAGGTCCTGTTGCCACGGCAGCCACTTGCTGGCTCATTCTGAGAGTCAATTTCCACTGCATTGGCCCAAGAAAAAATTTAGATCGAGTCTTGGCCCACTTGTGATCCTGGACTGCTGCTGGAGACTGAAATGTTATCGTTTATGGCTTAAACATTTTCATGAAGAACTTTTGCGTATTATATTAAAACTGTTTTGCAAAAGCTGCAGAGAAGATTACCACACCCGGAATGGGGCACCGACTGAAGGCCTACACTGCTTAGTGATAAAGATAAGACAAAGTAACAACTGTCCTGGATTAGGGCAAATCTGGGAGAAAACCTCCAAAAGGGGCCCCCCCAGAAAGCAAACCCACACAGCCCCTTCCTGCCACCAGTTCAGGAAGGATTCCTCGGAGAGAAGTGGAAAGAACCTGTTTATTTAACAAGCAAAACACCCCCAGCACACAAAATGAGCAACACCAGGTGACAACACTTTCACTGATCTGAAAAGGATGACAAATTCAGAAAGTCTGTCCTGGGAGTGGTGGCTCTGTTGTCACTCCCTCCGGCGCTGGGGATGGCTGCTGCAGCCACCAGATGCAAACTCTTGGTGTTTCCCAGGTCCCAGTCTAGAGCAGGTTTGAAGGGTTCCAAAAAGGGAAAGGAAAAAACAGTCCAGGGAAAAAAATCTGGACTGCTTATCTAAACTAACAGAAGCAAAAAAAGCAAAAGCAAAGCAGGAGCAAGAGCAAAGCAAGCAACAAAAAGCAAAGCAAAAAGCAAAAGCTGCACTATGTACTGCCCCGTCTCTCTGTCCCGCCAGCCGTGGGGGAGCAGGCTGAGAACAAACCCAAACAAACCTTGCTCTTCAGAGCCAGTCTTGAAGGCACAGAACATGATATCCAGCACTAAGAGAACACACGACTGGGGATACAAGCATCATAACCTCACCCTAGGACACAGCTCAAGGCTGAGGATGTGCACGGAGCACAGGCCTGACACCTGAGTGGAGACCGCAGCCCCAGGGCCATCAGTCGCCAGACTCCAACAGACCCTCACACCAAAGGGTCGGGGGGAGAGAGGTTTAGGGTGTGTGATGAAAAAGACTCTGGTGAGAGGCAGTTAACACCCATCTACGTTGTGGGGCCCCTTCACCCCGGGTGAAGCTGCATCTGCATGAAGGACAGAGGGTGTCACGGCCCATCAGAGGCCCCCCCCGGTGTTGGGCAGCCGGTCGGGGTCTGATGTTTGACCCAGATGCCCAGCCTTCCCAGAGAGAGGTCCCGCAAGCGACGAGCAGTCCTTCAGCCCCAGGGGAACCCCAGCGCGGGGCAGGGAGCTCAGCTCTTGGCAGTGATTTCAGCTCTTGGTGGTTTCAGCCCTGCCTTGCGAGGTGTACCCCGGCCAACACCACAGAGACAGGAGCACCGTATAGCAGCTCCACAGAGGTAGCCTTTATTCCAGCACCCTGCAAAGGCTGGAGGTGACAGCTCCCTCATGAGCAGGGCAGAAACTGGGGGTTTTATGGGGAAAAGCAGGGGTGGTACAAAGGGGGAAAACCAGTCGGTCCCAATGGATCTGCATGGGATTCCAAAACATGCTGGGAGCTCACCATGACCAAGGAGGATTTCTCAATCCAGGAGAGTCTGAGATCTCATCATATCCCATTCAAGGGATGCTATTGGTTTTTACACACCGCAGCAGGACACCTCTCCAGGGGAGAGGTGCAGCCTGTCTGTCTCCACACCCCAAACACTGCCCCCCGCCCGCCCCGACCCTGCACCGGAGCACTGCAGCATAATGCAACAGATCCTCAGTGTTGCTATGGATGGTGTCAGTTGGGCCCCCTGTGAGGGAGGCACACGAGCATTTCCACCTGCCCAAAATATATATTTATCCACCGGACTTTATATTTCTTGGTGTGGCGTGGCAACGTGGCCCCTCACCACCCAGAAGATCAGATGGAGGGGACCCGTGAGACTCATTGGGACCCCCAGAAGGGTGATATGTTTCTACCTAACTCCTGTCCATTCCTCACACTCCCTTCCTTCCTTCCTTCCTTCCTTCCTTCCTTCCTTCCTTCCTTCCTTCCTTCCTTCCTTCCTCCCTCCCTCCCTCCCTCCCTCTCTCTCTCTCTCTCTCTCTCTCCACTTTTCGCCACTTCCTTCTGCCAATTTTTGGCACCAACATCTAACCTTGTTAGGTTTAAATCATGTTTTTGGGTATATTTTGAAGCTTTCTGGGTTTGATCCTCTTCATTGCAGACACTTAGTTTCCTCTGCTGTTCCCTGTTTAAACCGGATCGTAACATGGTGAAAACCTGCACTAGGATCTGTTGCTGTTGGCTTGGACCGTGGAATTCCAGATTGCTTTGCAACTGTCATGGTTTAGGAATGGTTCTGCCCCCGTCAAGGCTCTCCCAACCAGATACTTCTTGCTTGCTCCCCCTTCCTGCTCCGGCAGAGTGGAGTTGAGAATTGGAGGCACAAAATGTGAAAACTACAGGTTGAGGTAGGAAATATTTAATGTATACAGCCATGAGATAAGAAAACAAACAGTAACAGCAACAATATTAATAAGAAAATTATACAATAAAAGGTAACTCACATGCAAAGTGCTCCGTGGGGACCCCAAGACAACGAACAATGGCAGATTTTATCATGTTTTTCATCCAGAAGCCATGTCTTTCTTAGAAGCCAGATAGAGTCCCTTTCCCCCACCCCTGACAAAAAGGTGAGGTGATACAAAACACATCAAAACCCTGTCCAAAGCCAGGACAGTATCTGCTCCTCTTTCTGTACCGTCTATTTATACCTTCCCACTAAATACATGCACACACATATTTTATATATATAATATAATATATATATTATAATATAATATGTGTTATATATATTATATATAATTATATATTATAATAAATATATATTATATATATAATTATATATTTTATATATATTATAATATATATTTTTAATATATCTATACACAAGCACGGGTATAATTTCCATTGTGAATGGCTGTGCCTCTAAGATGTCTGCTGAGTTGGTTTAGTGCACGGCTGTGATTCTGTCCATTCCAGATGTCCCCCGGGGCAGGAGGGCTGTGGTGCTGTTGGCTGGTTGCAGCACTAGGAGCTCACGACTGGAGCCATCCATCCTCGCTGATACGGGACTCACGGCACACAGCGGCAGTGCCGTTCAGCGCCCAGTTTTACACAATTCAACATCACAGACTATTCTCACCCAGAGTGAAATCCTCCTGCATTGCCCACGAAATGCACCAAGGTCCTTGAGCTAAGACAATGCCATGGAGGGGTTTGTGCTGGGTTGTGTTCTTAATCAGCAGTTGTAGGAGTGCAGGAGAGTGCCCCCCAATGACAGAGTGGCAAAGCCAGCCTTTGTCCCCCAAAAAAGGAAAGAAGCCCAGAAGTTTCTCCCAAGAATCAGGTGAAAAGCCACCTTATAGGAGCCCAGAGGCTTCACTAAAACCTTGGGGTCCAGTAGTAGTTAATTAAGTTATGCTTTGTAAGTTGGTATGTCCCATTCTCCCTTACATTAAGAGTGGTTCTCCTCCCTTGAACCCCTCTGAGTTTCCCTATCTCCTCCCCGGTTGCCCCAGCAGCCACTGTATCCTTTGTTCTCTCCCTCAGTGTCACTCAGCAACCTGACCCTTTCTTCCAGAAGCTTCTCTCTAGGGCGTCGAGTGATTGGTTCAGGGGCCCCTCCCCAGGATACCTCGGATTGGATGAGTTGAGTTGTCTGTATCCCCTTACCCACTACCCCCGGTCCTCTATTGGTTGGAGACCAGGCTCCACCTTCGTACCCACCTCCCTTTATGAGTTACCGTCACCCTGTTAAGTTGTCTCTGCCTTCTGGCTCCCTCGATCTTCCATCTCCCTGCTCCTGTAAACCCAGTTCTCCCAGAAGACAGCTTTTCCTCACTTCCACCGAAGCTAGCCGAGGGCCTTAGAAAGTGTGCACTCTCACGTTGGGAAGGATGAAAGTTTGATGAGAAAGTGTCACAGATGTGTATGCTTAGCAGAAGGATTTTTGAATGTGGAAGCTGAGGAAGGAATAGAGATGGAAGCAAGTTTTGATATAGAAGAAAAGAATTGCTGAGCCAGTCTTGCTGGATAACCAAGGAGGCAAAGGGTATGTTAGTTAGAAGGGGGTTTTTATGACTCAGAACAAAGGATAAACCCACCTCAAACAAGAAGATGTTTTTACCAAGCAGAAAGACAGCACACGCAAACAAGTCAGCAAATGTTGCAAGTAGAAAAAAGGTCTCAGCATTTTCCACTGCAAGAAAACTGAAAAAACTTCTAGCTTAAACTGTAATGTACTAACCTTTAGTGATTGGAGAATACTAACATGAATATGGTAATTGTAGTAGTTATGATAGGCTATAGATAAAAGTCCTAAGGCAGGACTGATCCACTTTTCCCTAGCTCGCTTCTCATGTGCGCCACGGCTATTTTATCCCCTTCTCCAGCGTGTGGGTGTTTTGTTTGGGCAGGGCCAGCTCGGCTGGGTAGAGCCTGGCAGGTGTTCGGTGGCCAGGTGGCCTTTGCTAAATGAAGATCCTGATATTTGAAGGTCCCAGCACCCATTGCTTTCGAGGTGGTTTTTAGCAGTTCATTCAGCTGACTCGGGGCCCAGGTGTTCGTGAGGCTGTTTTCTAAAAAAGTCCCATTATTTGAGTCAATTTCTTCAGTGGTGCTGCTTTGCCACGGGGCTTGTTTTTCAAGGGTTTTTCAAGGGTCAGCATGGTGTTCCAGGAAGTGACGTATGCATGGGGATGGGTCTCCAGCCATCCAATCATGCCTTCTACCACCGTGAGCACGTAGCTCTCGCCTTGGAGAGGTTGCAGCAGAGTGAAGCAATTGATCTGCCAGGCATCCCCAGGTTTAGGTTTCAGCCATTGTCCCCCACTCCAGGGGCTTCACCCACCTGGCCCTGCTCAATCTCAGATTTAGGTTTCAGCCATTGTCCCACACACTCCAGGGGCTTCACCCACCTGGCCCTGCTCGATCTCAGATTTAGGTTTCAGCCATTGTCCCCCACACCCCAGGGGCTTCACCCACCTGGCTCTGCTCGATCTCAGATTTAGGTTTCAGCCATTGTCCCCCACATCGCAGGGGCTTCACCCACCTGGCTCTGCTCGATCTCAGATTTAGGTTTCAGCCATTGTCCCCCACTCCAGGGGCTTCACCCACCTGGCCCTGCTTGATCTCAGATTTAGGTTTCAGCCATTGTCCCCCACATCGCAGGGGCTTCACCCACCTGGCTCTTCTTTATCTCAGATTTAGGTTTCAGCCATTGTCCCACACAGCACAGGGGCTTCACCCACCTGGCCCTGCTCGATCTCAGATTTAGGTTTCAGCCATTGTCCCCCACACCCCAGGGGCTTCACCCACCTGGCCCTGCTTCGTGTCAGGTACATACAGAGCAACCTGTGTATTTGTGATTGTGATATGTGTGGAAACCAACCATGGGACAGTTATAAAGACAATTTAATAAATAACTGGGGGAGTAAAGCATGGAAGAAGACCTTTGAACCTACCCTTTGTTCACAATTAACCTTTATAAGTCTTTTTAGGAACATTCGAATTAAAGCTTTAAGGATGTTGCTGTTTGACAGGAACTTTCTGCTTGTAGCTAAAAAGAGTTTTTCAATAATAACCTTTTGAAGTATAATTTTAGAATATTGTTTGTATTGGGAACAGAAACTGCTGAGAAAGCTTATGAGTACCCCTATAAATACCTGCAAGCCTCAACTATCGGTGTGGAGTTGGAGGGAAAATTTCCCCCGCTGTACCCAGCGCTGTATTGCTCATACTTTACCATATTAATTAATACATTGATTGCTGCTTGAATATTGGCCTAGTGAAGCTTCTCATTTATAACACCAGGATGACCCAGCTGTGCAAGAGCTGCAGCTGCCACGTGCCGGGAAAAGGAACTGAGTTATGAAGCATTTGCTGCACCTGAACGTTGAGCTCCGTCTCGCTTCCCGCTTTTCCTCCTCCTCCTTCCCCTTTTCCCTCATTACCACCGTCCCAGCCGCACATTTCTCAGAGGATAACCAGGGATTTTGGGACAAAACCACATTTTTTTATTGGAATGTCCCTGGGGATCCCCATTACGCCAGGGTGAGGTCGCTCTGCAGCAGCCGCTCTCTCTCCCAGCAACCTTCCTCCTCCTCCCCCACCTTCTCCTCCTCTTCCTCCTCCTCTTTCTCGTTATCTTCATCTCCACATTTCCAAGAGAAACGCTGGTGGTTTTGGGGCAGAAAACTGCTCTTCTGAGGGGGAACCTCCGCAGCGATCCCAGTCCTGTCAGGGCAGCCTCCCTCCCTGCCCCCTGTCTTCCTCCCCTCATTCTCCTCTTCCTCCTCGCTGCCATCACCCCTACTCCCCAGGACGCCTTCCCCGGATAAAAAACGGCGATTCTGGGGCGGAAAGCTTCCTTCCTGCGGGAGAGCTTCCCCGGGGCTCCCAGCCGTGCCAGGGCACCCTTCCTCCCTGCCCGCCCTCTCCCTGCCCTCCTCCTCCTCCTCCTGCCCCGCGCTCAGGGCGCAGCGGAGCTTTGCCCAGAAGAGGGGCTGTGCGGGGGGCTCGGGGGGCCAGCGCAGGTGCGTGCGCCGCAGCAGCACGCGGCGCATGCGGTGGAAGGCCGAGAGCTCGGCCTCGGGGATGTCCTCGAGGAAGACGAGCACGAGGACGTCGCGCAGCTCGTCGAAGAGGCGGTAGCTGGCCATCTGGATCTCCAGCGAGCACCACTCGCTGCGCAGGTAGCCGCGGCTCACCACGCACACCGTGCGCCGGCTGTTGTACACGGCGTCCACGATGTTGTCCACTATGGCGCGGCCGGGGCGGAAGTCGCGGTGGTGCAGGCAGAGCCGCAGGGCTCCGCGCTCCAGCTCGGGCACCAGCTCCTCCAGCACCCAGCGCTCGTCCCCGGAGTTGTAGGACACGAAGGTGTCGTAGGCGTAGCGCCGCTGCTCCCGCCGCCAGCGCCCGCGTGCCCACGCGCGCAGCAGGAACAGCTGGTAGCGCAGCCGCCAGTAGGCGCGGTGGTGCAGCAGCGGCAGCACCAGCAGCAGCAGCACGGCCGGCGCCGTCCCTGCAAACAGGTACCGCCCCATGTCCAGGTAGCACACGTGCGTGTCGAAGCAGTGCAGGTACGTGGAGGCGCCGCCCCTCTCACCACACGTGTAGTTGTACAGGTAGACCACCTGCACGGGCCCGCGCGCCAGCCAGGCGGGCAGCCAGGCGTTGGCACAGCTGCAGCTCAGCGGGCACTTGCGCAGGTCCAGGTAGCGCAGGGCGGGGAGGCGCGTGGTCAGAGCCGTATCCAGCGTGCGCAGCTCGTTCTTGGCCAGGCGCAGCTCCCTCAGGTGCGTCAGGTTGCCGAAGACCTCGGGGCCGAGGCCGCGCAGTCCCGTGTTCTCCAGGTTCAGGCTGTGCAGCTGGCTCAGGTTCTTGAAGACGCCGGCGGGCAGGTAGCCCATGCCGCTGCTGCTGTCGGCCAGCGTCAGGTACCGCAGCCGTGCCAGGTCGTCGAAGGCGTCGGCGGGGATGGCCGAGAGCGAGTTCCGTGACAGGTAGAGCCAGCGCAGGGCACTGAGGCCCTGGAAGAAGCGCTGTGGGACCACGCGCATCCCGTACGGCTGCTGCCCCTGCAGCTTCAGGTCGTAGAGGTTGTGCAGGTAGCGGAAGGGCGGCGGCTGCCGCAGGCGTCGGCTCAGGTAGCGCAGGGCGTTGGCACTCAGGTCCAGCACGCCCAGCGTCAGCTGCACCGGCTGGAACGCGGCCGCCCTCACCTCCAGCAGCCGGTTGCGGTCCAGGTAAAGCCGGAGAAGCCGCGGGAGGCCCTGGAACGCCTTGGCTGCCAAGTGCTTCAGGTTGTTCCCGCCCAGGTCAAGGGTCTGCAGGCGGTCCAGCCCCTGGAAGGCGCCGGGGAAGAGCACAGCCACGCGGTTGTTGCGCAGGTTGAGGACTTCCAGCTGGTGTAGGTCGGCGAAGGAGCCGGGCAGCAGGTCCATGAGCAGGTTGTTGTCAAGGCGCAGGTGCTGCAGCTGGCCGAGCCCACGCAGCGCCGCGCGGTCCAGCCGTGCCAGCTCGTTCACGTCCAGCCGCAGCTGCCGCAGCGCCGGCGCGTTGTCGAAGGCACCCGCGCCGGCCACCAGGATGCGGTTGAAGCGCAGGGACACGTTTTGCAGCTGCCGCAGGACCGGGGCCCCTCTGCACGACGGCAGCCGCTGCAGCAAGTTGTGCTCGGCCACCAGCTCGCGCAGCGCCGCTTGCTGCCCCGGGTTCAGCAGCCGCCCCGCGCAGCCCAATTTCCGCAGCCGGTTGCCAGACACGTCCAGGGCGCTCAGCAGCGGGCACGCGGCCAGAGCCCCGTCGGGCATTGACGCCAGCCCCATGTGCTGCAGCCGCAGCCACTGCAGCCGCTGTCCTGTCAGCTGCTGGCACAGGAATTCCAGGCCGCCCGTGCCCGCCCGGAGCCCTGACACATCCACCTGGCGCGGGGAGACCCCGGGCACGCGCAGCACCTGCGCCACGTCCAGCGGGTTGCCAGCCAGCCGGAGGGTGGTCAGGTTGTTGAGGCGCAGGTCCGACAGCGGCGTGGGGTCCGAGATGTTGTTGTAGGACAGGTCGAGCTCACGCAGCCCTGCGGGCACCACCCCCGCGGTGGCCCCCGAAAGAGCTGCCAGGGAGTTGTTGCAGAGCTGCAGCACCCTCAGCGCGGGCGGCAGTCCCGGGCCCAGCGTCGCCAGCGCGTTGCCGCACAGGTCGAGCAGCTCGAGGCGCGTCAGATTCCCCACGGCCGTGGCCACGGGCTCCAGGGCGCGGAGCCGGCCGCCCCGCAGCCGCAGCGAGCTGAGCGCGGCCAGCGGCCGGAACACCCCGGGGGCCACCTCCTGCAGCGGGTTGCGGTCCAGCCGCAGCGTGCTCAGGTTGCCCAGCCCGGTGAACACGCCCGAGGCCAGCACCGAAATGTTGTTGTTGGCCAGGTCGAGGTGGGCCAGCGCCGAGAGCCCCCAGAAGGCGCCGGGGGCCAGGAGCTGCAGCTGGTTGTGGGTCAGGTCGAGGACGCGGAGCCGCGGCAGGCGGGCGAAGGCGCCGGGGGGCAGCCGGCGCAGGATGTTGACGGAGAGGTTGAGGGACGTGGCGGTGGAGGGCAGGTCGCCCACCGCCGCCTCCACGGTGCTGAGGAAGCGCTGGATGCAGCGGAACAGCCCGGGATCCCGCGGCGCCTGGATGCAGTTGTGGAAGCCGTAGGGAAGGAGCCCTGCAGGCAGCGCCACCAGTGCCACCAGCGCCACCAGCAGGGCGGGGCACATCCTGCCTCGCCACGGGCAGATCCTGCACGCGGCGGGAGAGAGACCGGGATGAGGGACCACAGAGAGCCCCCTCGAGGCCCAGGGACTGCACGCGGGGCTCAGTGATCCCCACCACCCTAGGGACCCCATCGCCATCCCAAAGACCCCACTCAGGGACCCCTCACCCACGCCCCAGAGACCCCCACAGGAACACCAGGATCCCTACTCCGCACCCAAGGGCTCCTTGTCCCCACCAGGGACTCACACGCACCCGCTCCAGGGATTCCCCTCAGGGCCCAGAGACCCCCTCCATCCACAGACGCACCCCAGGGACCCCCGTCGCACCCCAGGGACCCCCATCGCACCCCAGGGACCCCCGTCGCACCCCAGGGACCCCCGTCGCACCCCAGGGAACTCCATCACTCCCCAGGGACCCCCGTCGCAGCCCAGGGACCCCCATCACACCCCAGGGACCCCCATCACACCCCAGGGACCCCCGTCACACCCCAGGGACCTCCCCCAGGCCCAAAGACCCCCCACTCACCCCAAGGACCCCTTGGCCCCCCAGCCCCCAGGGATTCTGGGGACCCCCTGCTCCCCATCAAGCTCCCACCGTGTGTCTGCCTCGGTGTTGGGTGATTTTGGGGCTGGAAACGGGAAGTTTGGGGTATCACTTTCGGTCGCCACCGGCCCGCCCACCTCCCTGTGGCACGGGTGGGGGCAGATTTAAGGGTCCCCGAGGGGCTGGCGGGGGCACGAGGCCGCACAGCTGGGTCACCCCCCCAGCGCAGCCCCCGGGAGCCTGGGGGGTCCCTGGGACCCCCAAACCTCTTTCCTTCCCCCCCGTCCCGCGCTGCCTCGTGCTGCTCTCGGTTCCTCTTCCCCTTTCTCAGGCTGAGCCACCTGGTTCTGGTTCCTTTGGTGAAAGTTGGCGCTCGTTGCTCTGCCACCCTCAGGAGTCCCGCTGCAGACGGGTTCTCTGATCGTCCGGGCGAGGCGTTCTGTTAGGTCCTGTTCTGTCGGGCCAGGGTTTTATGAGCCCTCAAAAGGGAACCTAATACCCCAAGGATAGCTTGGCTATTACCTTTGGAGGCAAAGAATGAGCAGGATGGCTTCTGCTGCAGTGTCAGAAACAAAAAGGATTAATAAAAGGCAAAATAACAAACAGAAAATCCGATCCAGGTACAGAGGTCTGCCCCTGGTAGAAACACGTTCACAAAAGCCTCGTGGTTCTTTTGTTCTCTTTTTTTCTACCTGATGGGCCAGGCGGGACTTTTTGGCTTTTATCCAATTAGGTGACCCCAAGGTTTTAGTGAAGCCTCTGGGCTCCTATAAGGTGGCTTTTCACCTGATCGTTGGGAGAAACTTCTGGGCTTCTTTCCTTTTTTGGGGGACAAAGGCTAGCTTTGCCACTCTGTCATTGGGGGGCATCCCCCTGCACTCCTTCAGTGTTCAAGTGCTCGATGTCCTCTGCCTCTGCAGCAGCTCTTCCAAAATCTCACCCGAGTCGCTCTGGGTCATTCTGGAGGCAGTCCGTGCCCAGAATCCACGGGGCCATCAGGGATCCATTCCAAAATCCCACCCTGAGTCCTTTCAGGTCTTTGCAGAGCCATTCTGGAGGCAGTCTGTGCCCAGAATCCACGGGGCCTCAGGGATCCATTCCAAAATCCCACCCCAGATCCCTCTGGGTCTTTGCAGAGCCATTCTGGAGGCACTCTGTGCCCGGAATCCACGGGGCCTCAGGGATCCATCCCCCGTTCCCGTCCCACGTTCCTGTCCCACATTCCCCCGTTCCCATCCCCCGTTCCCATCCCACGTTCCCATCCCACGTTCCCATCCCACGTTCTATCCCACGTTCCCACCCCACATTCCCATCCCACGTTCCCATCCCACGTTCCCATCCCACATTCCTGTCCCACATTCCATCCCACATTCCATCCCACGTTCCCATCCCACATTCCCATCCCACGTTCTATCCCACGTTCCCATCCCACGTTCCTGTCCCGCGTTCCCACATTCCCGTCCCACGTTGCCATCCCACATTCCCACGTTCCCACATTCCCACACTCCCACGTCCCCACGTTCCCGTGGTCTGGCAGGATGATCCCGGCTCAGCCCCAGCTCGGCCCCCGTGTCTCGGGGCCGCTGTTGGGCTCTGGCTCTGGGCTCGGTGCCTGGCGGATCCCCCGCGGCTCCGCCCGCAGCTCCCGCCTCTGCTCCGCCACCCCCGCGACGTTCTGTTGTATTTTATTATATTGTATTGTATGGTATTACATTGTGTTGCATTGTATTGTATTGTATTGTATTACATTGTATTGTATTGTATTGTACTGTATTGTATTGTATTGTACTGTATTGTATTGTATTGTACTGTATTGTATTGTATTGTATGTATTGTATTGTATTGTATTGTATTGTATTGTATTGTATTGTATTGTATTGTATTGTATTGCATTGTATTGTATTGTATTGTATTACATTGTATTGTATTGTATTGTATTGAATTGCATTGCATTGCATTGCATTGTATTGTATTGTATAGTATTGTATTGTATTGTATTGTATTGTATTGTTTTGTATTGTATTGTACTGTATTGTATTGTATTGTATTGCATTGCATTGCATTG